GTTCGAGCACAATGATAGCGCGCTTGTCCTGCGTACTGTCGAGGCCCAGGATAGCTGGCAGGTCCTTGCCACAGCCTGACACAATATTAGTCTTGTACGAGTCGAGCTGGGTCGAACCCTGGTACTCGCAGGCAATGCTGAAGGTGCCCACGGTATCAGCTGGGGCCAACCCCTCGCCCACCCCGTTGATGTTCAAACGAGAACGAGGTTCAAACGTACAAGGACGATTATGTGCCTCAGCAGCCTGGACGAACTTGCGGCTCGTATTTTCTCCCATTCTGTTAACTTCGAGCCCACGTCTATGAGGATTGAATTTCCACCATCCTCAAGAAAGGTCTTACTAGGCTGCTTGATGTGCGCTGTCTCTGAAGTGCCGGCTGCGCTGTCCGGCGGGTTTTCCCGCATCTCGGTCGTGCTCCTTGGCGGTTTTCCCCGTATCGTGCTGGCACCTGGCCTTCCTGCGGCCATGCGTGCCAGGTCGATGTACTGGAAGTACGACACGTTCTGGGCTTGAGCGCCCTGTTCCTCCCGCCAGTTGGCATGCTCATCGCGTATGCTCGTATACTGTTCGCGGGTAGTGCGCCGCCTCAGCGTCAAGTACGAATGAAGGGTGATGTCCTGTAATCCCTCATTCGTAAGGTGGTCCCTGTATTGCAACCACTCGTTCGTTGCTGAGAGCTCGACGGCCCTGACTGCTGTTGCCGCTGTCGCCACTGAAGAGTATGAGAGATCAAACAACTCGCTATCAGGATCATCGGCGTCCAGCATGAACGTGGTGTGCGCATCGTCCATCTGGGTCTGGAAGTGGCGAACACGCAGTTCTCGAAGCTGTTCAAGGTCTATTGGCAGCTCGGTCCCACCCCCACCTTGGGGTGACAGTGGAGGAGCCACCTGCCCGACTCCAGGCTCGTAATGAGTTGGAGGAATCGACGTAGGTGGGGTATTAGGCAGGTTTCCCTGCTGTGGCGCCGTCATCGGGATAAGCTGGTCGAAGTATCGCGTCCCCGTCGGCGTCCTCACCTCCTCCGGCGGGTTTCCCCGCTGTTGGGACTGTGCTGTCTGCCTGTCCAGCGCACTGGCTGTCATTTCCTCCACCATGCTCCTCAACTCCCGCAGCTCCCTCGCTGCCTGTTCGGGAGCCTGGGTGAAGGAGCCGGTAGATGGAAACGATGACGCTATGATGCCAGGCTGCCTGGCGCTCGGCAGATAGCACGCACTGTTCGCTGAGGATCTCCTTCTCGCTGATTCGCAACATGGCCCACCACATTCGAGTTCCAGCACTCCTCATGGAACAGGTCTTTGCACCTCAAGCGGTAGATGCTCTCCCTCGGCTGAAACTCCTCGAGGCATACCGCGCAGGTGTCTTCCATCCCAGTATAAATTTCCACGTCTGCCGTCCTAGGATACACCCGCCGCTGCCGCTCCAGGACTGTTTCGGAGCCCAGGAAAGCAGCTGGAGGGTCTCCTGCGGGAGCCAGTACCTCCCGCGCTACGGCAACCACTGCTGGAGGAGCTGCCGTTGTGGAGGCTGCGGGCGACACGGCTGGCGAGTTTCCTCGCATGGGTGAGCCTCTGTTCCTCACGACCTCAAGTGCAGTTGCACGTGCTTGGTCACGTGCGCTCTGTACTGCCTGCCTGCGCCTGAAACACGCCTGTTGAATGTGGTACGTCTGCCTGATGTAGTCTGGTACTCCCCTACTGCCTGATGATATCGAATGGGCAGTAGGCTGGACGGCCACTTCTGGTGTTGTCGGTGCAGGCATGAAAGCCATGTGCGGATACATGGACTGATCACTGCAGCGCACATTCGTGAGGCTATGAAACTGATCCGCCGTCTCGCGAACAAATCTGTTCGGGACTCTAGACCCATCTGGGTACAGTGGCGGATACATTGGTGCTGGCGCTGGCCTCTGGCCCTGAGCCATGCTCGGATGAGCATTGAAGGCAACATATGGATTCCGATTGAAACCACCCGCAGAAGGATTGATATTGAGATGCTTCGAAAGAAAGAACCCCCCGTTGGCATTGCATTGGCATTGGTTTGGCAATGGTTCGGCATCGCATTGGCATTGCGTGGGCATTGCGCTTGGCAGTGCGTTGCTAGTGTGCTTGCATTTCGCAAGCATTGCGCCTCCTCCTGCTCCTCCTTTTCTTGTTTGCTCTCCCCCCCGCAAAAAACAACAACAAAACAAAACACGGATCAGTTTTTTGTTTCTCGGGTGGGGGGGGGTCGTCGGCGGAAAAAAAAAGGAATGCGACGTGGCCTCATCTGCCCTCCCCCCTAGAACGGGTTCCTATTGAACGCCCCCGCAAGAAGGATTCATAGGAGATCCTGCACAGAAGCATTCCTATCAAAACCTTACTGAATGATTCCTATTGAAATCCTTCACATATGGATTCTTATTGAAATCTCCTTCAGAAGGACTGATATTGAGATGGTTCGAAAGAAAGAACCCCCCGTTGGCATTGCATTGGCATTGGTTTGGCAATGGATTGGCATCGCATTGGCATTGTGTGGGCATTGCGCTTGGCAGTGCGTTGCTAGTGCGCTTGCATTTCGCAAGCATTGCGCCTCCTCCTGCTCCTCCTTTTCTTGTTTGCTCTTCCCCCCAAAAGAAACAGCAAAACAAAAACTGATATATTTTCTTTTTTTTTCTCGGGGGGGCTGGGCCGGCGGCGAAAAACAAGGAATGCGACGTGGCCTCACTTGCCCTCCCCCCTAGAAGAATTCCTATTGAACGTTCCACAAGAAGGATTCATAGTGAAATCCTCTACAGAAGGATTCCTATCGAAACCCTCCGCTGAATGATTCCTATTGAAGTCCTCCACAGATGGATTCCTATTGAAGTCACCCGCAGAAGGATTGATATTGAGATGCTTCGAAAGAAAGAGTTGCATTGGCATTGGTTTGGCAATGGTTTGGCATCGCATTGGCATTGCGTGGGCATTGCGCTTGGCAGTGCGTTGCTAGTGTGCTTGCATTTCGCAAGCATTGCGCTGGCGAGTCCTGATGGAACCCTCCACAGAAGGACTCCGATCGAAACTTTCTACAAGAAGGACTCCTATTGGAACCCTCCACAAAAACGGCTCATATTGACACCCTCCACCGGAGGATTCCATGCGAAACCCTCCACAGAATTCCTATTGACATCTACCACAAAGGATTCCCCCCATTGGCAGTGCATTGGCATTGGGTTGGGATCGCTTTGGCATTGGTGTGGCACTGCGTTGGCATTGCGCTGGCATTGCGCTGGCGAGTTCCAACACCTCCCTTCGCAGAATGATTCCTATTGAGCCCCCCACAAGAACGATTCCGATTGAAGCATCCCACAAGAAGGGTTCACACTGAACGCCCTCACGGAAGGATTCCAGTCGAAGCCCTCCATAGAAGGATTTTCTTGAACCCGACCACAAACGAATTACCCCATTGGCATTGCATTGGCATTGAGTTGGGATCGCTTTGGCATTGGTTTGGCATTGAATTGGTATTGCGTTGGCATTGCGCTGGCGAGTTGTACTGGCTCCCCCGCAGAAGGATTCCTATGAAGACCTTGCACAAGAAGGGATCCTTTTGAAAGCCCCCACAGGAAGGATTCAAAGTGACCCCCCCCACAGAAAGAACCAAATCATCCACATAAGGATTCCTAGTGCAACCTGTTGGAAGACAGGGGTCTCGCCATCGGCATTGCATTGGCATGGGTTTGGCAACGGTTTGGCATCGCATTGGCATTGCGTTGGCATTGCGATGGCAGTGCGTTGGCAGTGCGTTGGCATTGCGTTGACATTGCGCTGGCGAGTCCTACTCAAACACTTCACAGAAGGATTCCTATTGAACACCCCCACAAAAAGGATGCCTGTTGAATCCCCCCACAAGAAGGATTCAAATTGAAATCCTCAACAGAAGGCTTCCATGCGAAACCCTCCATAGAAGGTTTCCTATTGAAATCCCCCGAAGAAGGGTTCTTAGAAGGATAGCGATTGAAATCTACCACAAACAATTCCCCCCATTGGCATGGCATTGGCATTGGTTTGGCATTGCGTTGGCACTGCTTCGGCATTGCGCTGGCGAGTTCAAATGACTCCCACCACAGAAAGATTCCTTACCTTTCACAAGAAGGGATCCTTTTGAAAGCCCCCACATAAAAGATTCATACTGAATCCCCCCACGGAAGTATTCCAACCGAAACCCTCCACAGGTAGGATTCCTTTTGGAATCTACCACAAAGGATACCCCCCATTGGCATTGCATTGGCGTTGAATTGGGATCGCCTTGGCATTGCGATGGCAAAGCTTTGGCATTGCGTTGGCATTGCGTTGGCATTGCGCTGGCGAGTCCTAATGGCTCCCTCCGCAGACGGTCTCCTACTGAAACCCTCCGCAAGAACGATTCCGATTGAATCTTCCCACATGCAGGATTCCGAGTGAAACCTTCCACATGAGGATCCCTATCGAAACCTTACACACATGCATTGCTATTGAAATCCTCCGAAGAAGGATTCGTCATGACATCATCCACAACGTATTCTTATTGAAATCCACCGAACGAAAGGATTCCCCCATTGGCATTGCATTGGCATGGGTGTTGGTGTGGGATGGATTTGTATCGTATCGGCATGCATTGGCCTGTTGCAGGGGATAGACAAAGAGAGAGAGAGAGAAAGACAAAGAGAGAGAGAGAGAACACTAGAGAACGATACAACGAGAAAAGATGAGTATGAGGGGATCACGGCGAAAAGAAACATGACAAAAAACAATCGAAGTTTCAGGGTGAAAGAGCGTTTCACTCGATAAAAACCGTATGACAACGACGAGGGGCTCCACAATCCCCCGGCCTCGACTCCCTCCTCCTCCTCCTCCTCCTCCTCCCCTCCTCCTCCTCCTCCCCCTTCTCCTCCTCCTCCTCCTCCTCCTCCTCCTCCTCCTCCTCCTCCTCCTCCCCCTCCTCCCCCTCCTCCTCCCCTCTACTCCCCCTCTTTCTTCCCCTGGTCCTCCTCCGGGAGGCCGACGACGAGGTCTCGCGCTGGGCTTGAACTGGCCCGCAGCAGGGCGCGCTGAGATTGCCGGCCGTGCCATCGTCCGCCTGGCGGCCGCCGCCCGCGCGCGGCCTGTGGCGCGGATGGCGCGAACGGCAGTCAGGCAGTGCTGGGAGGGGTCACCACTGCAGGGCCGTGACGACGACCTCTCGTTTTTCGTGCCGCTGGGGAGCGGCCGGGGCGCCCGCGGCGCGAAGAAAGCATTTGCGATTTTTGCGAGCGCCGTCGCATATATATATATATATATATATATATATATATACACATGGGCTTCGCCCCCTGCCGCCGGCCCCTCTCTATCATAATGGGATATATCAGAGTCGCGTCGGTGCGTCTCGGCACTCCCTTGGCGCATCTGGGAAAATCGTGCGGGGGCGGGTCGGAATCATCAGCGCATATTGAGACGTTGGCGTTATCGAAGACGCCTACGGCGGATCACCGCCGCCCTCTGCCTTGTTGGAAGCGCCTGCGTGGCCGAACATTGGGTTTGAGCTTGGCCAAGCTATCGGGCCACGCGTTCCCCGAGTGGGTTTCGAAAGCCTTTGGGGAACACGGAGTCGGGCGAGCTATCGGACCAGGTGGTTTCCGAGCTTTCGGGCCTCCTGGAGGACGTCTTGGAGTGGTCTTGGGCCGTCTTGGAGGCCTCTTGCGGGCCTTTTGGGCCGTCTTGGGCCATTTTGAGGCAATCTGGGGCCGTCTTGGGTGCATTTGGGGGCCATCTTGGCCGTCCTGGAGGCCATCTTGGCCGTCTTGGAGGCATCTTGGAGGCCATCTTGGCAGTCTTGGAGGCCATCTGGGGCTTCTTAGGGGCCTCTTGGGCCGTCTTGGGGCCTTTTTGGGGCCGTCTTGGGGGCCTCTTGGGCCGTCCTGGGGCCGTCTTGGATGCTTCTTGGGCGCTCTTGGGGCGATCTTGATGGCCTCTTGGGCAGTCATGGGCCGTCGGAATCCGAAAAAGAGCAAAAGCCAACAACATGCTTCAAACACCTACGGAGAAGCAATGATTTTGACCTCTTCGGGCCGTCCTTGAGGACTCAGGAGGACCTCTTCGAGACCTCTTGGGCCGTCTTGAAGGCCTATTGGAGGCCTCTGGGACCGTCGTGGGCCGTCTTGGGTGTTTCTTGTTTGAACTTGGAGGCATCCTGGACTCTCTTGGGCCGTCGTCGAGGCCATATTCGCTGTCTTGAAGGCCATCTTGGCCATCTTGGAGGCATCTTGGAGGCCATCTTGGCCATCTTGGAGGCCATCTTCGGCGTCTTCGGGGCCATCTTGGGCCATCTTGGGCCGTCTTGGGATCTTCTTGGGGCCGTCTTGGGGGCCTCTTGGGCTGTCATGGGGCCATCTTGGAGGCCTCTTGGGCGCTCTTGGGACGATGTTAGGGGCCGCTTGGGCCGTCTTGGGCCGTCGGAGAGCCGAAAAGGAGCAACAGCCGAACTCCTTCAAAAAGTAGATGAACATCACTGACGTTAACCCTGTCGGGCCTTCCTGGAGGACGTCTTTGGGCCGTCTTGGAGGCCTCTTGCGGGCCTATAGGGCCGTCTTAGGCCATCTTGAGGCAATCTTGGGCCGTCTTGGGTGCATCTTCGGGCCATCTTAGCCGTCTTGACGGCCATCTCGGGCGTTTTGGAGGCATCTTGGAGGCCATCTTGGCCGTCTTGGAGGCCATGTTGGGCGTCTTGGGGACATCTTGGGCCATCTTGGGCCGTCTTGGGATCTTCTTGGGGCCGTCTTGGCGGCCTCTTGGGCTGTCATGGGGCCATCTTGGAGGCCTCTTGGGCGCTCTTGGGTCGATGTTGGGGGCCGCTTGGGCCGTCTTGGGCCGTCGGAGAGCCGAAAAGGAGCAAATTCCCGAATCCTTCAAAAACTAATATGAAAATCACTGATTTTAACCCTGTCGGGCCTTCCTGTAGGACGTCTTGGAGGGCTCTTGGGCCGTCTTGGAGGCCTCTTGCGGGCCTATAGGGCCGTCTTGGGCCACCTTGAGGCAATCTTGGGCCGTTTTGGGTGCATCTTCGGGCCATCTTGGCCGTCTTGGAGGCCATCTTGGCCGTCTTGGAGGCACCTTGGAGGCCATCTTGGCAGTCTTGGAGGCCATCTGGGGCTTCTTAAGGGCCTCTTGGGCCGTCTTGGGGCCTTTTTGGGGCCGTCTTGGGGGCCTCTTGGGCCGTCCTGGGGCCGTTTTGGATGCTTCTTGGGCACTCTTGGGGCGACCTTGATGGCCTCTTGGGCAGTCTTGGACCGTCGGAATCCGAAAAAGAGCAAAAGCCAACACCATGCTTCAAACACCTGCGGAAAAGCAATGATTTTGACCTCTTCGGGCCGTCCTTGAGGACCCTGGAGGACCTCTTCGAGGCCTCTTGGGCCGTCTTGGAGGCCTCTTGGCGGACTCTGGGGCCGTGTTGGGCCATCTTAGGTGTTTTTTTGTTTGAACTTGGAGGCATCCTGGACTCTCTTGGGCCGTCGTCGAGTCCATCTTGGACCTCTTGGGCGAACTTGGAGGCCATCTTGGAGGCCATCTTGGAGCCGTCTGGAGCCGAAAAGCCCTTTGCTGCAACCACCGCCCCAGTGGGAGATCTCTTGGAAAAGAACCAAAACCAAAATCGAAAGGACCTAGCACGCGGGGCACCCCTGTGGCAAGCCAACAGGGGGCGGCGGACCTAATGGCCATCCCGCCACCGTGTCTGGGTTGTGGGTCTGAGGCCTCTTGTATATCTGTTGGGATGTCGTGGGGAGCCTCTCGGGGGCCTCTTGGAGGCGCTTTCTGCGCCTCTTGGGGGTCTCTTGGGGCTTCGTGGGGTTTCCTTTGGGCCTCTTAGAGGCCTCTTTGGCGCGTCTTGGGCGCCTCTTGGGGCCTCTTGGGGCCCTCGGGGCTTCTCGGAACGCTTCTTGGGCCATCTTGGATCCCTCTCGGGCCGTCTTGGGGCCCTCTTGGAGGCGTCTTGGGCTGTCTTGGGGCGGTCTTGGGAGCTTCTTGACCCATCTGGGAGCGTCGGAAAGCCGAAATGCGAGAACCCCAAACTCCTTCAAAAACCGTTTGTAAAAACTACTATGTTGGTCTCTGGGGGCTCTCTCTGCTCCCCTCGCTGCCCTCCCCGTCCTCCACGCTCTCATCCTCGTCATTCGCCGCCTTGTCCTCGCCATCATCCCTTTCTTTTTCCCCCTCTGCGAGCCAATTGACAACATCGGCGCTTCCCGTTCTTGTCCGATCACGTTTTAGGGGCGCGCCAGAGAGGCTCGTAAGGGGCCTCCAGAGGTGTTCAAGAGTGCTCCGAGCGGGCCTGAAAATTATCACATATATATGTATATATCTCAGAATCCGCTTCCTAGTTGTACAGTCGGCCCGGATTAGTAGGTCGACCCTGCCAGCTCAAGGGTACCCTTGTGTCCTCTGCCTCGCGACACGTGTCTTCTTACACTCCTATGGCGATGTGGCCCTCGGAAGGGTCTTGTGTCCTCTCGCGTGTCCTGTCCAATCAAGGCCGACTGCATGTGCGGTTTTGTTGAATGTCGCTTGAATTTGGAGGCCATCTTGGGCGTGTCGTGGAGCACCCAGGGAGCACCAGAGGGACTCGCAGAGAGAACGCAGGGGCCTTGCCTGGGCCTTGCCTCCTCAGGCCGGTGCATTCAACGTGAATCAGGGAGGGAAAAAACACAGACACAATTAATCGTCGATTGCCTAGAAAATATTGGAGAGAGCGTGATCCACCGCCGCTTTACTGTGGAAAATTGCCAACCTTTTCCTCCGGAACCCGGGGGTCTCCCCCCCCCCTCCGAAAATCCCCCCCCCCTGCTGGAACCCCTCCCCTCCCCCCCCCCCCCTCCGGCAAAACCCCCCCTCCCCTAACCCCTCACCCCCCCCCCCTCTCCCCTCGAAAACGGGGGGAGTCACTACCGGTTCGAACCCCTCCCCCCCCCCCCCTCCTCCGGATCCGGAAAACTGGGGGGGTCACTACCGGTTGGAACCCCCCCCCCCCTCTCGAAAACCGGAGGGGGGTCACTACCGGTTCGACCCCCCCCCCACGCACCGCCAGCAAACGACTCCCGGTCCCTACCACCGCTCGCATCACATCCCCCACTGTTGTTCCCAGCACCACTGTCCTCACCACCACTGTCCCCACTGGTTCCACCACCGTCCCTATTGTCCCCACCAGTGCCCCCACCACTGTCGCACTGTCCCCACTGTTCCCACAACTGTTCCCACCACGGTTCCACTCTCCCCACTGTCTCCACGGACCCAACCACTGCCTATCCCCACTGTCCCCACTGTCCCACTGACTCCTCCGCTGTCCCACTGAGCTGTCCCACTGTTTCCACCACTGTCCCCACTGTCCCCACCACTGTCCCCACTGTACCTCTGTCCCATTGTCCCACCGCCGTCCTCGCCACCGCCTTTACCAGTGTCCCCACCACCATTGTACCCTCCACTGTCCCAGTGTTTCCACCTCATTCCCACTGTCCCCACACCACTGTCCCCACCACCACCGTTCCCACCACTGTCCACTGTCCCCCCTGTTCCCACCATTGTCCCCACCACTGTCCCCACCACTACCGTCCCCACCACTGTCCCACTCCCACTGTCCCCACCACTGTCCCGCTGTCCCCTCACCACTGTCCCCACCAACACCGTCCCCACCACTGTCCGCACCCCCACTCGGTTTTCGAGGGGGGGGGGGGGTTCGAACCGGTAGTGACCCCCCCCCCTTTTCATGATGAGCTGGGGGGGGGGGGAGGGGTTCGAACCGGTAGTGACCCCCCCCGGTTTTCCGCCAGCAGCGGTAGAACACGCTCTTTCAAATATTGGAAAATATGGGAAGTGGGGGGGAAGACAAAAAAACCGAAAATATTGGAATCTATGGGGAATCATGTTTTTTTTTCTGTTTGTGTGTGTGTGTGTGTCCCAGGGCCCCTTCAAATCCGCCGATCCCACGGACGCTGCATCTGCTGCCCCTTCCGATGTCCCCCTCGGCCCCTGGGAGCTTCTCTCCTCTGCTGCCCTTGCTTCCCTTCCTTTTTGTGGCATGTGGAAAGGGCGGGGAAGGAGGCCATGTCCTTTCGCGTTTTCCTTTGTGCTGTGCACTTCCACCCTTGCCTTCCCCCTGCTGTCGCAACCAGCAGCTCGCTCCCGAGAGTACGTGGGCGTCGGCGCGTGCGACCAGGTGAGCTTGTTTTGAGCCTTAAGCGGCGTGTCGTTCCTCTAGTTCGGCTCGCATTGGTCAATGGCGACGAGACCGCCCAGTTGGGGATCCATCGAGATGCGGACGCGAAAGTGTGTATGTGTGTTTGTGCGTGTGCTTTTCATTTTGCCCCGTGCACGTATCCACAAATATGGATTAATCGTCTTGACAGTTTCCCTGCTCGACTTTTGCACCGCTTGCGGTAACCCACTGACGCGTCGGAGGGAAAGTGTCTGTGTGTAAGTGTGTGTGTGTGTGTGTTTTTTTGGGGGTCTCTTTCTCTCTCTCTCTCTCTATCTGCTAGGCTGGTGTGCATTCCCCTCTCTTGTGTCTCTGCCTGGCTTGGAACCCCAGGAGGAGATGCGGGCGGCGAACCAGGAGCTCCTAAAACAGCGAGACGAGGAGTATCAGGCGTGCCCTCTGCGTTGCGACCCATCGGGCCGTTGTCGGCGGTTAGCTGCCGAGGGCGGATGCCGATGAGGAGGAGGGGGAGCAGGAGGAGGTGAAGAATGACTAGGAGGAGGACTAGTGGGGGGAGGAGGAGGATGAAAGCGAAGAGGAGGACGAGGAGGAGGAGGACCAGGAGGAAGTGGAGTAATGCGAAGACGAATGCGAATTGGAATTCGTATGCGACGAATTTTACTGATGTGCACCAGCAGGGTACTGTTAGCCAGCTCGGGCCCCTAAACAATGTGTTTCTAGCAATATACGTTGTGCAAAATATGTGGAGCAATCTACCTATACGACCGCCCTGCGGGCGATAAGGAGGTTGGGGGGATTGAGATCAAATGCCCACCCTGACTGACCTCCAGCCTGTCACCTTGATCTCATCTCTCTCCTTCTCTCTGTCTCTCTCTCTCTCTCTCTCTTTTTCTCTGTCTATCTCTCTCTCTCTGTCTTTCTCTCTCTCTCTTTCCCTATCTATCAGAGTCTCCCTCCGCCACAATGATGATCGCGATGACGATGAGATCCCACTATCTACCTATCTGTCGACCGATCTATCGGTGAATCTCACTGTCGATCTCACTATTGGCGGCGAACGCTCGAGCCTCGCAGTCTGCCGCGATCGCGCCCAGGCGCCGACAAAAATGAATTGATGGATTGGGTTGGGTGGATTGGATTGGATGGGATAAGATGGATTGGAAAAGAGAAGATGGGTTGGATTGGAAGAGATGGAGTGGATAAGATACGATGGAATGGATTGGCCCGCCGCAGGCGCAGAAACAAATGAATTGATGGGGTTGGTTGGGTGGATTGGAATGGGTGGGATAAGATAGGATGGGTCAATATGGGTTGGATAAGATAAGATGGATTGGATTGGACAATATGTATTGCATGCTATAAGCTGGATTTGATAAGAAAGCCCGCCGCAGGCGCCGACAAAAATGAATTGATGGATTGGGTTGGTGGATCGGATTGGATCGGGTAAGATTCATTGGTTAAGATAAGATGGGTTGGATTTGAAGCAATGGATTGGGTAAGATAAGATGGATTGGATTGACCCACCGCAGCCGCATAAACAAATGAATTGATGGATTGGGTTGGGTGGATTGGATTGGGTGTGATAGTATAAGATGTGACAAGATGGGTTGGATAAGATAAAAGATGGTTTGGATTGGACAAGATGGATTTGATAAGATAAGCAGGATTGGATAAGTAAGCCCGCCGCAGGCGCCGAAAAAAATGAATTATAAAATCAGCGACATTCGTTAGCGCCGGGACGTCCGGGACACCTGGGACATCCCGGACACCGCCCCGCCCAACTGGGACACCTCCCGGCCACCGGCGGGCGGGAAACGGACTTTCGCTCCTACTGACACCCGGGACACCTGGGACACCGCCCGGCGCAACCCAGCCACGAGCGGACGGGGAACGGTTTTTCGCTCCTACTTCGGCCCAGCTACAAGAGGATCACGCGCAGCTTCTCCTCGCCCGCACGCACGACACGAACACGAAACCGAAACGGATTTCCCGGTGGGGGGTCTCCGCTTCACTGCGATCTCACCCCCCAACCTCCGATCTGGCGCAATATTCGTTGTGGAATGTATGTTGTGCAATCTATGTGGTGCAGTCCATTCTGCTGAACTTGAAGTCATCATCTCCACTGCTCGCGCAAACATCCCACCCACCCACCCGCAGCTTGGTTTGCAAAACCTGTTAAGACCGACTACGACGACACCGACGACAACGACTAGGACGACACCGACGACGTCTCCGACGACTTCGACGACGACAACGACGCCGACGCCGACGACGACGACGACGCCAACGAAGGCGACGACGAGGGAGGAGGAAGGACGACGACGGCGACAACGACGACAACGACGACAACGACGAGGGAGGAGGGAGGACGGCGACGACGCGAACGACGACGAAGGAGGAAGGACGGCGACGCCGACGACGACAACGACGAAGGAGGAGGGAAGACGACGACGACAACGACGACGACGACGGCGACGAAATAGGAGGGACGACGACGAGACGCCGACGACGGACGACGACGACGACGTGGGAGGAGGAGGAAGGACGACCACGGCGACAACGACGACGGAAACGACCACGACCCCAAAGAGGACGACGACGAACACGAGAAAAGACAGAGGACGACGTAGGCGACGACGACGACGACGCGGGAGGAGGGGGGACGGCAACGACGACGACGACGACGACGACGCAAGAGCGCGCGCGCATGCTTTTGTTGAAAATCCGTGTTGCGAAACCTTGGGTTTTTTGTAGGGTTTTTGGACGCGCGATTTTGAAATCTTTCCGAAACCGATGGGTTTTGAAGGTTTTCGGCATACGCCTGCGACGACGCGCGCGTCTGGCACTTCGTGTCATTTTTTGCCGAGGATTCTCGCGACGGCACACGCGCAAGGGCGTTCGACAGATTTCGACATGCGCGCGCGCGAAGCCCGTTTGGTAGCATTTTGTAAAAGTCTTGAAAAACCTATGGTTTTTGTTCAAAAGATTTCGCAAGAGCTCGCGCGGAAGTTTTTTAAGCAAACCAGTGTTGCGGAACCATGTGTTTTTGCATGTTTTTTGGAAACGATTGCGAAATCTTTCCGGCACCGAAGGTTTTTGAAGGATTTCGGCATGCGCGCGCGACGACGCGCGCGTGCGCACTTCGTCCCATGTTTTGCAAGGGATTCGCGAACAAGTGCTATGTTAGAACAACACATGTCACCGCATAGTGTCTTTTGTTTACAAGGGAACCTCGGGGAGGGGGAACCCAGCCTGGCTGGGATGGTATGATTTCACATTTAGGATGGACGAGTGTGCAGACTATATATATATATATGTGTGAAGTTATATTATCCCAGGGGGAAGCGATAAGTCTGGGAACGGGGGTGGAGTCTATTCTTTTTTTAGAAAGGAGACCTCATTGCTGTTCGCAGTGAGTTGTCCACTCCACTGCTCGCCCAAACATCCCACCCACCCACCCGCAACTTGGTTTGCAAAATCTCTTAAGACCGTGACGGTGGGTACCACATGACACTTGGCAACGACAGCGACGCCGACGACGACAGCGACAACGACGACGACGACGCCGACAACCAGTACGACGACACCGACGACGTCTCCAACGACTTCGGCGACGCCGACAACGACGACGACGACGAGACGACGACGACGACACCGACGACGACGACGACGACGCCGACGCCGCCGACGACGACGACGACGATGACAACCACGACGACGATGACGACGCCGACGACGACAACGACGACACCGACGACCACGACGACGACGTCAACGACGCCGACGACGACGACGACGACGGTGGCGACGACGACGGCGCCGATTTTCGACGACGAGGACGACGACGACGCCGACGCCGACGACGACGAAGACGACGACGACGTCGCCAACGAAGACGACGACGAGGGAGGAGGGGGGAGGACGACGACGGCGACATCGACGACAACGACGAGGGAGGAGGGAAGACGGCGACGACGCGAACGACGAAGAAGGAGGAAGGACGGCGACGCCGACGACGACAACGACGAGGGACGAGAGAAAACGACGACGACGACGACGACGACGACGGCGACGAAATAGAAGGGACGACGGCGAGACGCCGACGACGGACGACGACGACGACGAGGGAGGAAGAGGAAGGACGACCACGGCGACAACGACGACGGAAACGACCACGACGCCAAAGTGGACGACGACGACGAACACGAGGAAAAACAGAGGACGACGTAGGCGACGACGACGACGACGCGGGAGGAGGGAGGACGGCGACGACGACGACGCCGCAAGAGCGCGAGCGCACGCTTTTGTTGAAAATCCGTGTTGCGAAACCTTGTGTTTTTGTATGTTGTTTGGACGCACGATTTTGAGATCCTTTCGAAACCGATGGGTTTTGAAGGATTTCGGCATACGCGCGCGACGACGCGCGCGTCTGCACTTCGTCACAATTTTTTGCAGAGGATTCTCGCGACGGCACACGCGCAAGGGAGTTCGACAGATTTCGGCGTGCGCGCGCGCGACGCCCGTGTGGTAGCATGTTGTGTAAATCGTGGAAAACCTATGGTTTTTCCTAAGATTTCGCAAGAGCTCGCGCGTAAGCTTTTTTAGCAAATCAGTGTTGCGAAACCATGTGTTGTTGCATGTTGTTTTGGAAACTCGATTGCGAAATCCTTCCGGCACCGAAGGTTTTTGAAGGATTTCGGCATGCGCGCGCGCGACGACGCGCGCGTGTGCACTTCGTCCTATGTTTTGAAAGGGATTCGCGAGAAGTGGTATGTTAGAACAGAACATGTCACCGCATTGTATATATATATATACACACAACAAGGGAACCTCAGGGGGGGGATACCGGTTTGGCTGGGATGGTATGACTTCATATTTAGGATGAACGAGTGTGCAGAATATATATGAAATCGTATCATCCCAGGGGGAACCGATAAGTCCGGGGGGGGAGAGTCTAGTCTCTTTTTAGAAAGGAGAATCTATGTGGTGCTATTGTTTGTTGCAGATGAGTTGAGGCATGTCATGCCCTTGCGAACATCCCACCTGCTCACCCGCAGTTTGGTTTGCAAAACCCATGCGACGGCCATTGCGATGAGTGCTTGGCGTTTGCTTGTGCATCTCTGTGGCCGCGCTGGCCCGCGTGCATTCGCGCGCGCAGCAGTCAGCTAGTTTGGCGCGACCGACGCGGCCGCGTTGGCGCTGACCGCTGGGCACTTCCCAGCGGACACTTCAGAGCGAGTCGGTGATTTGGGCGGGCGCGGCATCGTGTCGACGTCGACAACGATGGACACGATTGGGAGAGTAGCGATGATGGTGACGAGACGACTGCGCCGATGACGACGGCAAGGCCAATGATGGCGCCGATGTGGCGATCACGCACGCCGATAACGATGGCGATGTCTCCGCGTCGGCGACGAATGTTTTGAACG